CTTTGTATTTCTAATACTAAAGTTTTGCTTTAAGAGATAGTGTTTTATGTTCATTGTCTAAGTCTTTTGGAAAATCAGGTTCTGTGCAAACTCATACGCCTACCTTCGCACAGTGCTGAATTCCTACACCTACCTTTGCATAGTGCTGAATTCCTACACCTAACTTCATACAGTGCTGAATTCCTACACCTACCTTCGCACAGTGCTGAATTCCTACACCTACCTTCGCACAGTGCTGAATTCCTACACATAACTTCACACAGTGCTGAATTCCTACACCTACCTTCACACAGTGCTGAATTCCTACACCTACCTTCGCACAGTGCTGAATTCCTACACCTACCTTCACACAGTGCTGAATTCCTACACCTACCTTCACACAGTGCTGAATTCCTACGCCTACCTTCGCACAGTGCTGAATTCCTACACATAGCTTCACACCATGCTGAATTCCTACGCCTACCTTCGCACAGTGCTGAATTCCTACGCCTACCTTTGCACAGTGCTGAATTCCTACACATAGCTTCACACCATGCTGAATTCCTACACCTACCTTCACACAGTGCTGAATTCCTACACCTAACTTCACACAGTGCTGAATTCCTACACATAGCTTCACACCATGCTGAATTCCTACACATAACTTCACACAGTGCTGAATTCCTACACCTACCTTCGCACAGTGCTGAATTCCTACACCTACCTTCACACAGTGCTGAATTCCTACACCTACCTTCACACAGTGCTGAATTCCTACGCCTACCTTCGCACAGTGCTGAATTCCTACACCTAGATTAACACAGTGCTGAATTCCTACACCTAGATTCACACAGTGCTGAATTCCTACACCTAGATTCACACAGTGCTGAATTCCTACACCTAGATTCGCACAGTGCTGAATTCCTACACCTACCTTCACACAGTGCTGAATTCCTACACCTAGATTCACACAGTGCAGAATTCCTACACATAGCTTCACACAGTGCTGAATTCCTACACATAGCTTCACACAGTGCTGAATTCCTACACCTACCTTCACACAGTGCTGAATTCCTACACCTACCTTCACACATTGCTGAATTTCTATACCCAGCTTCACACAATGCTGCATTCCTACACCTAACTTCACACAGTGCAGAATTCCTACACATAGCTTCACACAGTGCTGAATTCCTAGACCTACCTTCACACAGTGCTGAATTCCTGAACCTAGCTTCACATAGTGCTGAATTCCTACACCCAACTTCACACAGTGCTGAATTCCTACACCTAACTTCACACAGTGCTGAATTCCTAAATCCAGGAGGCCATGTCTTTTTTGGTGTGATAGATGGATGGATGGATGGATTAATGGATGGATAAATGAATGGGTGAAAGGATGGATGGATGAAGAATTGATGGATGGATGGATGGATGGATAGATAGATAAATGAATGGGTGAAAGGATGCATGGATGGATGGATAGATGGATGGATGGATAAATGAATGGGTGAAAGGATGGATGGATGAAGAATTGATGGAGGATGGATGGATGATGGATGGATGGATAGATAGATGGATGGATAAATTAATGGGTGAAATGAAGGATGGATGAAGAATTGATGGAGGATGGATGGATGAAGAATTGATGGATGGATGGATGGATGGATTTTGTATATCTGTCACGTTCCACTGACATGCTCTTTCATAGCAGCTAGAGGTCTTTGTCCAACCAAGATGGCAGTTAATCAGATTGTATTTAATCAATAGAGGAACTTTGAATCTCTTTCACAATGAGATACTTGGAAACTCAAATGCTCACATCTCAATTCAGTGAATCTCATCCGATCAGACTGAGAAAAGGGAATTGGGAGCAAAGACACACTCACAATGACTAATGGGCATGATTTGCAGCAATTCCTTCTCTTTTTGGAAATAGTCACAGCTGATACTGAAGATTGATACTAACCGACACAATTCAACTTTAACTAATAATGGAGGATGAAGCTACGTTTAATTAAACTGAAAGGCTTCTTATAAGTTATTTTTAATTCAGTCGTAATGAGGGGATTGTCTCCAAGAGTCAAAAAAATGATTATGAAATCACTAAGCAGTTTATTCATGAAACACTGAACTACAATTCGAGCTTGAGGCTAAAACAGCTGATTTTGTAAAATTCGCCAACGCTGTCACAGCTGGTCACAGGTCGGCTGATAAATCTGCTGTTTGGTGTTTCATTTGCTAGAATTCGCAGTTTGTCACTGACCCACTGAGATATCTTACCCAAAGGTAAAACTGTGTTTGTGAAATGCCTGAGTAATACACCATGTGATCTGCGAGATATTAAAGGAATACTATTGTGCTAGGGATACAAAGTTGCATTCCTAGCACTATAGCTCCATTCTATTCCCCCTCCCCCCACCCCCGTAGCATAGTAAGGATTAAAATACCCTTACTGTACTTACCCAATACCAGTGCTGATGTCCCTCGGCACTTGTCAGCGCTTTGCCCCTTTAACATGACATGACGAGGGGCACTAATGCACATGCACGGTGAGTATTGCTAGCGCATTAGGCCCTCCCCATAGGAAAGCACTGCTGCAAAGCTTTCCTATGGGGAATTAACTGACGCTTGATGTCCTCATGTAGAGCATGAAAGTCTGCCAAAAGTCAGCTAACCACCTGAAAGTGCCTCTAGTGGCTGTCTGATTGACAGCCACTGGAGGCAGTCTAAACCCTGCAAGTTAATTATTGCATTTTCTCACAAACTGGAATAATTACTATTGCAGGGTTAAGGGCACAGGGACATTGCACCCAGACCACTTCAATGAGCTGACTGGGTCTGGGTTCCTATAGTGTCCCTTTAACAAATATCAAAATCTATGTAAAGATATTGGACGTCCAAAGTCTTATGCCTCTACGTTAAGTCAGTGCTGTACAAATGTCAGATCCCCAGATGGCTCAGGACTGCAACTCCCATGACTGGCCATTCAGAAAGCCTGGCAAAGGATTATGGGAGGATTTTTGGGCATCCCTGCTTTAAACCTTTACTAGACAGAGTGCAGCTCTTCTAAATAATTCATAATTTGTAACAAAATGGGGGAAAGTTATTGTTAATAATTATTGCCTGTCCTGCTAAACAAGCTATATCGTCAGATGGAATACCCATGCCTGCTGTTAATAATAATAATAAAAAAGAATCGCAACCATATATAATAATAACAATGTTATTAATAATAATATACTTTATTATATAAATTCTGAATCAGAAAGTACCAGCTATTCTTGGCCATATTGGGCTCTGAGCATAATCAGCGAGGTCAAAGAGCCATTCCTGTCCCCTGCACTCTGGAAGGCTGCAATCCCACATTCTGATTGGTCGCTTTTTTAAAGATGTTTTACTGACAGCTGCTATTTCAAGATGGCTGCCTCCAGACTGACTGATTTTAGTTGTTTATTAGTAAATACAACAAAACACGTTAAAGCTTGCTTTGAAGTAAATAATACGCATTCACTAAATATATGGTTACAGTGCCAGCTTTAATTATAATGTATTTTATATATGACTTGCTCAAATACCAAATATTCTAAAATGTCATAAAAATGTATCTGTAACAGGTTCGTTTTTTTATAATTTATTTTTCTGTGGTAGATTTAGCGCTTGATCTGTTTGCTAGTACAATTATTTCCATATGTGCTGCCTGGTCCTCATTCTGCTGCCATCTGGGAGTAAAATCCACCCCCCACCCCCCTCCCCTATCACCCCCCACACCACCCCAAAAACACAGCCACAAGAAACACACTTTGCAAATAGCCTGGTTATATTCCATATTACAGAAAGATAACTAGAACTCGTAAAATCGGATGTGTTTCTTTTTCCAACAGAACAGGCGATGAAGATTACAACTTAATCCTTGTCAATAGATTTCTGGATATAAATAATAGTTACATTTCTGTGGAATTTTCTCTTCTAATTTAGTTGATAATCATCACGTCAAAGAAGAAAAAAATATAGAAAATAATATGAGATAAAGTTCCAATGGGGCCCCCAACTCATCCTGTATTTGTTTGTCAGATTTTGTATTGTCTCTCAGACTTATTGTTCCTTTGTATTTTTACTGATAGCATTTGTACCCATGTACAGCGCTGCGGAATGTGTTGGTGCTTTATAAATAAGGTATACTGATAAACTGCCACTTTTGTATTTTTCTAATTTTCTCCCAAAGTGACACGTTTATTTACAAGGTAGGACCCAGGGTGAGCAGAGGTCTGCTCTCTGTCCATGATACCCTCACAGTGTGAGATGCTGTGTCCTGGATCCTTATAAATATCACAAATTATCACTAACTACTTGAAATTGGAATGTTAGCAATGATCAATCCTTGAATTGTGGTGAGATATAGGTAATGTTTCTATTTGCACTGGGAAAATCTTCTGGTAACCTAGAAATGGTTTATGGCTGGTTACTGGCCACTCACTGGATCATAGTCCGTGATTTGTTTTAGAAAGCTGCATTTAAAATGGTGTCCATTGCTAAGGTTATCTGCAGATAAGTCTGATACACAATGCTTGTCTGGGGCTCATTTGCATATCAAACTGGGAATTCTGGGATGTTTATGGAAACATGATTTCTCTTAGATAGCGCCACCTTATTCTGCAGAGCTGTACAATATTGTAAAGGGAGATTTAACAACAAATGAGACAAACTATTAAACATTGTAACCGGAACGAGTTTGAAAAGGAGATTACTGGAATAATATGGGGAATCGGACACTGTGTTTTCCTAATCAGCGAGGCTAAGGATAAAAAGTAGCCAGATGTATCATCCGAGAGAAATGTTTTATAGACAGTGTCAGGGCAGGTGGGGAAACAAAGAATTGGCCAAGTTCTCCACTGGTAGATCCTATGATCTGAATTCCACGCCAATACTATAATTATACCTTATTCATTTTATTACATTATTAATTATTGATCAAACATTAATACCTGGATTTTATTATCTATCTACATTCAAAATGTGCTCTGCAATGTGTGAAGTGATTCCTTTAAACATGGCTTTGGTTTTCGCAATAAGAATTGTTGAAGGAAAAGAAACGACTCCGGCAGGGTTTGTGGAAGCAGAACAGACGCATTTCACCAGTATCCCGTTTCTCGGTGGATGTTGGACTGGCTGTGGTTCCATTAAAGAGCCGGTCACCCGTCTGTAAACATTTTACATAAAGCAGAAGAGTTTACATATCGCACACATTTATGCCGTTAACAAAGAATACCAGGGGATACTATGCGATACATTATAATCATTATCAGGGTTTATTGTTCAATCACCATTTACCCCTGTGTGGCCGTACCGCATTCTGGGGTATACAGAATTAACCCCCAACACTCACTCATGTACTCCCAGCTCTGCTAGGTACATCTACCTACCTACCTACATTTTAAAACACACGAAAGCCCAGCGGTGTTCGGCACTGATTTCATGGAACTAAAAACGGACACTTTTTCTGCCGAACACTGCTGAAACAACGGGTCACCTGGCTGCCTCGACGAAAGCGTACGAACACCGGCCGTTCTGGAGTTTTACAACACACGAAAGGACTTAACCCCATGGAGTCAATCGCATCCCGAAAGACTGTAAAGACTTTGACTCCATGGCGATTGAACTATTTATCTATCTGCTTGTCTGTCTTTCTTTCTATCTATCTGTCTATCTTCTATCCATCAGTTCATTTATCTATCTATTCTATCTCTTTATCTATCTATCTATTCCCGTGCCCAGGGCAGCAAGCATTATAACTCTCACCGCAGAGTATAGTGTGTATGAGTGTATCCACAGCAATAAATCTCACAGTAATGTGCAGTGTGTATGGATGTACCACAGAGCTCCACAGCAATAAAACTCACAGTAATGTTCTGTTACATACTGTACATCAGCTCAATAAAACACTAATAAGAACATTTTTAATAAATTTGGATACATAATTAAAACATTTTGTTCATGTGCCAATTCACTTGCACAATTCCATTAAAAATTAAAGAAATATTTTATTATATATTTACTACTTCTAAAAGCTTTTAGCTGAAACTACAAATTCCAGAAAGCTTTGCCACACTACTTGGTGATATATAATTGTTACGAGATAATGGAGGTTAGGAGGAGCTTACTGAGCTGTATGTACGTTCTAGGGGCACTCTGAGCACCATAACAACTGCAAAGCATTGTAGTGGTTATGGTGTCTAAAGTTTGACTTCTCACAGGGATCTTCCCCAGGGCCGTCTATAATATGATTAGGACCCTGGGCAATGCATTTTCTTGGGCCCCCTGGGCCCTGCTCCTTCCCCCCCAACCCCTTAATTACATCCAACCCGCAATCACACTGACAGACATACTGACACATACGCACACAGACAGACATATTAAAACATTCTCAGATACATACTGACATACACATACACTGACACACAAATATATACTGGCAGACATATTGACACACACTCAGACATACTGACACACACACAGACACACATTCATGAATACACAGACACATAAACTGACAAATATACTGACACACACAGACGCATACACTGACAGACCTATTGACACACACAAACAGGCATTCTGACACAGACACACAGGCAGACATACTGACAAACACACACAGGCAGACATACTGACACACACACACAGGCAGACATACTGACACACACACACAGACATACTGACAAACACACACAGGCATACTGACAAACACACACAGGCATACTGACATATACAGACACACACAGACATACACGCACACACACAGAGACACACATAGACACACACAGACTTAGTGACACACAGACATACTGACATACACACACACAGACTTAGTGACACACAGACATACTGACATACACACAGACATAGACACACACACAGAGACATACTGACACACACACAGACATACTGACACACACACAGAGACATACTGACATGCACACAGACATACATTTAGCCACCCTCCAGTTTCCTACCTTTTTCTGGAGGGTGGTTTCCCTGGTCCAGTGGCAGGCTGAGGCAGATGGGAGTTCTCCTCTGGAACTCCCCTCCTCCCTGCCTTCCTCCTCCCGCGCGGTTGTGATCACCGGTGGGAGGAAGTGACGCGCGGCACTCACTTCCTCCCAGCCGGCTGCCGAACAGGAAGAGGCCCGGTCGCGCTGTTTAAGTGTCACAGCGCCCGACCGGGCCCCTGCTGACACATGCCCACCGGGTGGCCCTTAGTGCATGGGTCACCCGGGGGCCTCCTTTAGCGTGTGGCTCTGTGCAGCCGCCCCGCCGGGTCCAAGGGGAGCTGCTCAAATCGCGGGGCCCACGAGGCAGCTGCTCTGGGGCCCCTAAGGAGCAACTGGGCCCAGGGCAGCTGCCCCGTTTGCCCCGCGTTAAAGACGGCCCTGATCTTCCCGTGTTTGCTTCAGATAGAAATATAGATAAGTTGTAATATTTTCCAATTTAGCTCTCTTGGCATAAACATTGTAAATCAGTTTAACCCAATTATCCGATTAATGAATAAATAATGTATTTAAAGGGTGTTTTTCAAATTCTGAAAAACTGAAGTAACTATTACATGTATCTGTCCTTCACCAGAATTATAACGTCATTCATGATCTGTCAGTGGTCGTGGTGGAGACGTCTCGCGATTTGCAACGTGGATTTTTCCGATCTCTTTTCAGTTCCAAATGAAGAACAATAATAATAAATGACATGACAAAGAATGAGACATATATTTATTTAGGTTAAAAAAATTACAAAACAGAAGGAATACATTTCTGATCTTTATCACCAACACATTCAGACAATGAAGTCTCTACGTGGTGTGGTATCTGCGGTTGGGAAGAAGGTTTGCGCATTGCGTAACTGTGACATTGATACTAAATGATTGCACTAAACTTTAAGGTCATGTTTACTGAAGTGGATTCAATCTGGTAACAAACACATTTAATCTTGTGGGTTTTTTGGATTGCTGTATGTGTTGTCTGTCTCTGATAAGACAAAATAATATTAAATTATTATTAAATGAATTAATATTAAAGGGACACTCCAACTTGTGTCGCAATGAGTCGGCTGCATTTCAGTTAGTTATGCTGGGTGGGTTCATTAAATTTATTTTATTTTATTTTATTTCTAATGGTCACACCCCGAACCTGCCATTAATAAACGGGGGGCTGCCTATAGGGGTTTATGAAAATTGTCGTTCACCCGTCAGCTTTCTACTGAGAGTTGCAAAACATACAAATCTATCTATGATTGCATAGGGTCAATAAATAATTATGGGATTGGGGGGGGACCTCGAGCCCGAATCCAATTCAATGTCTGATAAATAGACCCCACAGAGGTTTCTCCCTATGAATACATATATTCCCATTGTCTTTTGTCTTTCATTTTTCTCAAAGTTAGTAGCACACAAAACTACTAGTTATGTTTGTAAGCCCCAGGGAACCCAGACCGTTTAGAGAAAGAATGACAATGTTGTGTAGACAGAAGAAATTAGCAAAATTAGATCATTGTTCACTGTTTGTTTCACCGCTCTCAGTAGAGAATGCTCAGAACAAAGCGAGTATTGAGTGAGGCTTTGATGGTGTGATAGATAGTACGCCATTGTTTCCATTTTATTAGTTACAGGTCTACACATACGGAGCGTGGCTAAGATCCATATATGGTTCAGCCAAGTCTATACTAGATTCGTACCACTCAAGTGTCCATATTTAGAAAAGGCAGTCCCCATTTTGGGCCCAAACCCCTGGGTCCCTCTTTTCTATCTTAATACCCCCTTTCCTAGGAGCTCCATGTTGTTGATGTGTCTAAGTGTATAACAGAGCTCCACAGCAATAATACTCCCAGTAATGTGTCTGAGTGTATAACAGAGCTCCACAGCAATAATACTCCCAGTAATGTGTCTGAGTGTATAACAGAGCTCCACAGCAATAATACTCCCAGTAATGTGTCTGAGTGTATAACAGAGCTCCACAGCAATAATACTCCCAGTAATGTGTCTGAGTGTATAACAGAGCTCCACAGCAAGAATACTCCCAGTAATGTGTCTGAGTGTATAACAGAGCTCCACAGTAATAATACCCCCAGTAATGTGTCTGACTGTATAACAGAGCTCCTTAGCAATAATACTCCCAGTAATGTGTCTGAGTGTATAACAGAGCTCCACAGCAATAATACTCCCAGTAATGTGTCTGAGTGTATAACAGAGCTCCACAGCAAGAATACTCCCAGTAATGTGTCTGAGTGTATAACAGAGCTCCACAGCAATACTACCAGTACTCCCAGTAATGTGTCTGAGTGTATAACAGAGTCCACAGCAATAATACTCCCAGTAATGTGTCTGAGTGTATAACAGAGCTCCACAGCAATAATACTCCCAGTAATGTGTCTGAGTGTATAACAGAGCTCCACAGCAATAATACTACCAGTAATGTGTCTGAGTATATAACAGAGCTCCACAGCAATAATACTCCCAGTAATGTGTCTGAGTGTATAAACAGAGCTCACAGCAATAATACTCCCAGCAATGTGTCTGACTGTATAACAGAGCTCCACAGCAATAATACTACCAGTAATGTGTCTGAGTGTATAACAGAGCCCACAGCAATAATACTCCCAGTAATGTGTCTGAGTGTATAACAGAGCTCCACAGCAATAATACTTCCAGTAATATGTCTGAGTGTATAACAGAGCTCCACAGCAATAATACTCCCAGTAATGTGTCTGAGTGTATAACAGAGCTCCACAGCAATAATACTCCCAGTAATGTGTCTGAGTGTATAACAGAGCTCCACAGCAATAATACTCCCAGTAATGTGTCTGAGTGTATAACAGAGCTCCGCAGCAATAATACTCCCAGTAATGTGTCTGAGTGTATAACAGAGCCCCACAGCAATAATACTCCCAGTAATGTGTCTGAGTGTATGACAGAGCTCCACAGCAATAATACTCCCAGTAATGTGTCTGAGTGTATAACAGAGCTCCACAGCAATAATACTCCCAGTAATGTCTGAGTGTATAACAGAGCTCCACAACAATAACACTCCCAGTAATGTGTCTGAGTGTATAACAGAGCTCCACAGCAATAATACTCCCAGCAATGTGTCTTTATACTACAATAAATGTGTTTAGAAATTAGTCTGTGGAAATAAGATACATTGATCTTCTTATAAGTTACATTTGTGTTGTATGAATTATTAGACGTGCCATTGCTGAAAAATGGGAATGCTCGGAACCCCCTTCCATAGAAGTAGTGAAGCGCAAAATTACTGACACCATAAAAATGAATGAAATGTCTGCACTGATACTACAACATGTTTTACCAAAATCTGGAACCCATGGTTCTATGAATTCCCTACCCCTAATTAACCAGAGAACCAGTCAAACAAGACTAATAGATATCGGACTGAATGGGGGGGAGGGGGGGGGGGAGATAAGACCACCCGAATCATGCCTACGTAGAAACCCCCCCACCAATATTCACTGAAAATGTATTTGAACTGCCCCTTGCACCCCCACTCACACCCCTTAAATTAAAGTGCCCCTCTTGGTCCGTTTCATATGTTGGGCGGTAGGTAGTTTTGTGATAGTAATGGGGTGCTGATGGTTTAACCGCGGCGTGGGGGATTTTCCAGATGTCTTAGCATTCAGGTTATAATATTGACAGATCCCATTGTACAGCGCTACGGAATCTGATGGCGCTATATAAATAATAAAATCATAATAATCGTACTCTCCCAGAGCCCAACGAGATGCCAAAATGTGTGATGTCATCTGCTAGTCAAGACAGACAGATCCACCATGTTTTCTTTGACACATATATCGGCCAATGGAGGGAAGGAATGAAAAGACATGGCGTGCAACATGTAGAACTCCAGTAGAGCTAAATACCAATAACACTCAAATAAAGATTACACTTCCCCATTATCAATAGCAAATTAATAGCCTTTCATAAAGTTTATGAAATCCCTGCAAGATGAATATTAATACTCTCTAAGTACCATAAGCACTACAGTTTGTGGTATTATTGCACTATTATATTTTATTGAATCATTGCAGCATTAAAGCTTTTTGCATTATTACAGGAGAAAATCAATAAAAATAAAATATTTTTTTAGTGCCAGTGCAGCGCTGAACGTCATGGATTGGACCCCATTACCATGCGAAAAAAAACAAAATAATTTCAACTCTTTTCTTCCATTGTGTCTGGTATTTCCTACAGAGTAAAGCGCTTTGTACTTCGTATCATTTACACAAACATACTCTCCATTTAGGATCGGTAGGCAGATCAATTTCAACTTGATTATGTAACTATATATAGAAAATATTTTACTTTTTCTATGAAAAAAAAATGGTTGTAATCTCTGGAAAGGATAAATTGTTCCGGTTTGGCAAACTCTTCCAAGCCAAAAAACAAGAAACAAAATGCAAAATAGGGTGAGAGGTAACAGATACATACATTGCAATTAAAAAATGTGTTTCAAAAGCCAAAAATATGTGAGGTTTATTTTGGATCAAGACAAAAAAATTGGAAAAGAATAAAAAAGCATAATAAATCAGACATTGATAGCAGAGTTTATGTGTTATTACGCACGATTTTCAGAAATAAACCTCACCTCACCTACATAAAAAACAGATCCAGTTTGAATAAGCAAACGTAAATACAGTTTCTCATTTGCATCATGCCTGTGAGGTTTAATGTAGTTCAATGTAACTCTATTTAAGCATTCCTGCCCTGGTATAGAATGCAAGTACTTTAAGAATCTGCATCCAAGCAGATATCACTTTGTAGCAATTGTCTAAGAACCAGCACTGACCAGTCACTAAGGAAAGTATATACTGCTTCGGAATTAATAAAATATCTTAAAAAATTTTTTTTTAATGAATTAATATATTGAACTGTTAAGTGTATAATAAAACATATCAGCGTGTATTTCTAGCTAACAAGACACAGGGGAAATGATAAAACGTAATGATTCTAGGGAAGTCTTTGACAGTTACCTTATTTTCCAATATTCCTGAATCTGAGACATTTGTCCTGCCATCTTGGGAGTATTTCTGTGTTTAACTGCGTTGCATTATGACGCCTTTCTGTAAAATGCTTAGAGACAGGAAGGTCTAATCTAGATTTACAAATTGTAGATTAGCATTTACAAAGCCTTCCTTTTATCTTCTGAATCCAACAAACATTTATTTTGCCGTAGGAACTAAATAATTGAATCTACAAAAGAAGACTGTAACTGGTAAAATGACCATGTACCAATACTGTATCCCTGTAACGCAGTACAGAAACCGGGGCACTTATTAACATTATACCAATCCATATTCTTCACTTTACCAAATAAACTGCTACCCCTCACACCAAATATACAGTTTGATCAAACCGGAAACATACAAGCCAATCGATAGTGCCGGATCTAATTACAGGACAAACAATCCAAACTCGATCGTGCAGGTTTAAAGTCATCCTTTATTGAAATAACATTATTATAGCCACAGTGAGCGGGGGCACAAAGGCAATCCGGAGACGCACCCCCTCTTATAAACTAATCTTGGCATCATTCCAAATACCTCAATTTCAGGATGGCGTCTTTGTAAGATAGACGATTGTTCGTGTAAAGGGTGTGAATGCTTGAGGCAGTGTGTTCCACATTTAATAACTGAATTTACATTTTCTTAGTGGAGAACATCGAATTCACTTTACTTTCTGTGTTTACCATTTTGCATATTGTATCATAATGCCCTAGATTGGCCGTCCGTTATCACCACGTGATGATCGGGTTGTTTTAGTTACCAAATGAAAACAACACTGTGTATCGGAGGTGTATGATGGATCGTTTGTTATCTTCTATAATAAACGAGTTAAAGATTTTATTTCATATTCAGAAATTATTACCTGAATTTTGCAAAACTATTGTCAGTTCACAACAATGTGCTGGTTAGTGAACAGAACCAGTAAGATTTTTTGGATTACACTTAAAGGGACACTATGGTCACTACAAGCACTACAGCTGAATGCAATGGGTATGGTATCCATTGCCTATCCCTGCAGGCTTTTTAATGTAAACTCCACCATTTCAGAGAAAAGGCAACATTTACATTACTGCCTAGGAACACCTCTAGAGACAGTCACTCAGAAGGCCGCTGGAGGTGCTTCCTATGTCAGTGATGCACAGTGTGCAGCACCTACGCACAGTGTATCTGCGTTCTGCATGGAGACAATGAACACTCCCCATAGAGATGCATTGATTTTATATAACTCTGTGAGGAGATAGTGATTGGTGCTTTGCTGTGCATGTGCAATAACCTCATTGGATTGACATAGATCATCAAGATTTACTATCTCAGCCATGGAGTCCACCTCCAGCCATGGCGAGATCGGCGTGGCGCTGGAAAAAAGGAGAGTTAACTAACTTTTTACTCCACAGAGAGGGTGGACGGGGATCTAGATATTTACTCGTGTTTGTAATCCTAACATGTGTTCATTTAATAATAACATTGTAATTTTATTACCAAAACTTGAAAAGATTGTGAGTTTTACATAAAATTAGCTGAGCTGAAAAAAATGTTTTGGTTTAAATGAGCTATTTTGACCCAACATATGCAATGTCCTTTTCAATTCCACACAATTCCTTGTTTAATCCCTAAACCCCTATTACATTAGATTAATTGCATGTTATTTAGCGGATTCTTACACCATCTGTGGGAATGCACGGCACTCCTGAGTCCGTTGGTATTTTCTAAGTAGACGCTAATGCACTGCCCCCCTCCCTGGGGACGATCTCTGGCCTAATCAAAGAGCATTCATTGCTCCTGAGTGAAATATGATCAGTCTCTTGAAGGACGCATAGTCAGTATTAAACAAACCAGTGATTACAACGCTCGATAATTGTCTCCTTTTCATACTTAATCATGTACAATTATCTTCAACAGGAGATTAGATCCCAGTGGAGTTCAGATTGCCCCCAATCACAATAACATTATTACAGAGTCTCCAGAAAAGGGAGCAACAGGTACAGCAACATATTGTTTGAAATGTAAGCCCTGAAACACGGGTGAAAAGGTGAGGAACATTTTAACAATGTAAAGGCCGCCGTGCGAACGATCTAATTCCATGTATATCACATGGCAAGCATCAGCGAGTTAGACTTCGAAGGTATGAAGATACTCTATATGAGGGGTGGGGAACCTTCGCCCCCCCCAGATGTTGTAGACTACATCTCCCTCAATGCTTTGCTAGCATTATGGCTGTAACAGCATTATGGGAGAGGTAGTCCAAAACATCTGGAGGACCAAAGGTTCCCCAACCTGCTCTATATGGATAGGAGTATTGGGACACATCTCTTAATTATTGAATTCAGGTGTTTCAATCAGACCCGTTGCCACAGGTGTATAAAATCAAACACCTACCCATGCAGTCTGCATTTACAAACATTTGTGAAAAGAAATGAATTTGAGCATGGTACATGTGACCACCTTGGCAATAAGTCAGTTCGTGAAATTTCATCCCTGATAGATATTCCACGGTCAATTATAAAGTCACAGAGGAAGGTCAGACAACGCTCTGCTGATTCCAGAATGGAATAGTTTCAAACTTCCACTGGCATTAATATCTGCACAAATACATGTGCGGTGGAAGGTTTGTGGAATGGGCATCCATGGCCGAGCAGCTGCATGCAAGCCTCACATCACCAAGTACAATGCCAAGCGTTGAGCTAGGCCCCTTGTGTTAAGACACCCCCAGTGTCTTTAAATAAAGCCGCCGTTTAGTCGACCTTCCCCTGCTGCAGTACCAATAATCTCCGTTCGCATAACCGTAGTGCACGAACCAAACTCAGGGGAAGCATCAATCTCCCGACTGGGATCAGTGAAAGGCTCCAACCTCCCGAACGGAACTCCACGAACAGCTGCTAGCCGCCGAACAATAATATTCACCAAGTGGCTTCCGTTCCATCCAGCAGTCTCTAAACGTGAAGAAGAAATCCCCCCAATAACGAGACAGAAGCTCTGCATTGAGGGTCAAACAGGATCTGGCTTTACTGTGGGCTACCTGCCCGTATTTATGCAGGTCTCCCACTTGGTGGACACTCCCCTAGGGGACCAAATGGGAGACTTAAATGACAGGCAGATATGGGGACATTCCAGACACATGGACACAGTTTTTACCCACAATGCACTATGATTCCCTCCCCTCTGCCCTGGAGATAATTATCAAGTAACACAATTATCTCCAGGACAAAGCCAGTCGCCATTTTAAATATAAAATCATAAAAGACATAAAAATACATAACTTTAAAATAACTGAACATTTCCCATTCGTATCACATATCCCCAGATGGCCTGGATCTGAGTGCATATTATTAGCGAATTGCGCTCAGATCCCACACACATAGTTCAATCGCCATAGAGTCAAAGTTCTTACAGTCCTTCGGTATACGAATAACTCCATGGGAAGGCTATCTGGGTTAAGTCCTTTCGTATGCTTCAAACCTCCCAAACGGCCGGTATTCGTATGCTTTCGTGGAGGCAGCCAGGCGTTCCATTGTTTCAGCGGTGTTCGGCAGAAAAAGTGTCCGTTTTTAGTTCCATAGAAATAGAGCCAAACACCGCTGGGCTTTCGCAAGGTTTAAAATGGCAGCTGCCTCGTGGTCGACATACGAACGACGACCACCCTGAATTCGTTTAATTGAGAAGTGTCTGAGGTTAACCACAACGTTCTAATTGGGATCAATAGGTTAACCAGCAGCACACTTCTCTTTTGGGTGGCCGTCCATTCGGTAGGTTTGTTCGGGAAAAAACAGTAATTCGTATGGCTGGGCTATAGAAACAGCCATTTACACAAAAGGGGGCAGAAATAGAAGAATCCACCACAATAGGCAGGCAGATGGTTCTGTCACACCTTGCTTCAAGTAACGGGAAATCAGTGAAGGGACATTATGGACAATGTTATGCTTTCAACTTTGTGGGAACAGTTTGGGGAGGGTCCTTTTCTATTCCAACATGACTGTGCCCCCGTGCATAAAGCAAGGTCCATAAAGACATGGTTGGATGAGTTTGGTGTGGAAGAACTCGACTGGCCCACACAGAGTCCTGACCTCAACCCCATCAAACACCTCTGGAGTGAACTGGAATGGAGATTGTGAGCCTTCTCACCCAACAGCAGCTCCTGACCTCACAAATGCTCTACTGGATGAATGGGTAAAAATTCTCACATAAACATTCAAAAATCTTATGGAAAGCCTTCTCAGAATAGGGGAATCTGTTATAGCTGCAAAGGGGGGACCAGCTCCATATTAATGTCTATGTATTTAGAATGTGATGTCATAAAAGTCCCTGTTGGTGTCAGGTGTCTCAGTACGTTTGTCCATATTTATTGCATCTACTCCATAAACATTCAAACACACGCAAGAGTGGTGGCATGTCGTCTGCCCCTAGACGATTATTATTATCACGGGGAAAATATCTGCAGAAATGTAATTTTGGTAAAATTCTCTAATATTGGTTATTTCGGACAATTCCCTTTCAACCTCCACCGCCAGATCTTAGTCTCATGTGAGGTACAAAGAAGGCCCTGCCTTCTCACCGTGCAAGAAAAAAAACAACAGATCTCTTTTTTATTCCCTCCCATAAGCAGCCTTTTTCTACTCTTTGTACTATATTTTAGATTATTATTTTTTTGCAATTATAAGTGAATTTGTACCAAAAGGACAAGGAAAGTGGAATTTGTTTTTGATTTTTATGTTGTTTAAAAAAAAAATAAAAAAAAATCACTTAGGGAAAACGTGTAATTCTTATCACTTATTACATTTCTGGTGTGTCAGAGTATGTGAGCCAGCAGGGTCATCATTCCCCCATCACCACTTGTTGGATAACTCCTTCCCCCTCCACGGATTGGCCAGAGCAGCTAAAGGACGAAGAAGCTATTTTTGGAGGTACTAACATTCATGATGCAGTAATAATAATTCTCATTATTCCTAGTGAGGCAACTTAAAGTACCATAACCACTACACAGTGCTAGGAGCCTACGAATCTCAGTACTGGAAGGGCACACAAGGACAACTGTCCGGAAGACTTCAGGTAAGAAGTCAAAAACGTTTGACTACTTACATGCCAGGGCATGCTGAAGTGGTTATGGTGCTTGGAACCTTCATTTAAAACGCGCAGCATCTAATGGGGCCATGTGAGTTCACTCTCTAAGGATGCCATAGATACCACAACTTAATACCCCAATCCGAGATCCCTTTCTCCCAACAAAAATCAAAACACCAGACACCTCACTAACCATGACACACGACGCTCACTCATACACCTGTTGCATAACAACCGCAGATGCAGTGCATAAACATAAACACAGTGACAATTACACACCCACATATACAGGCACATTCACACAGATACACCCTAGCACACAGATACAAACACAAGCTTATAAATAAATAGACGCATCCAGCAACAAAAATCATGCATTCAATGGAGGCGCCTTACTACATTCCTGCCCTCTGCATGGCCCTCCAGCTGATGTTTGACTGCATTTCCCATAATTCTGTGGATTGTAGAAATTGTACCACTAGAACATTTGCTGTGGGAGGGACTACAGTCCTGACAATTCTGAATATTGTTGGAATTGTTGTCCATGGACAGGTAGTGGTTATAGTGGGAAGCCAGCACTGTAGACTGCAGCTTACATTATCAGGAATTTCAAATCGCTATGAACAGGTTCCTCCTAGCCAAACAGCAAGGCTGCTTCCTCGCCTGCCAAGCACTGACAGCCTGTGCCCCTTCCATGGAATTACTCATAGGCTGCAAGACATTAAAAATATACAAGTTTCAAAAACAGTCGACGCTTCAGTTGAATAAATATTACGCCACCGTAGACACGGACTTTCCTTACTGACCATTTCATCTCAAGGTCAGTGGCCAAGACGTGCCCGGTCTCTGGGATTTACACAGGGTATTCTGCAGTAACATCATGACTACGTTGGGTGTTTCCATTCACTAAATAAGGGCGCAGGGCTTGCCAAGTCTGCAGTGACAAAATATTGTGCAACATGTTCTGAGAAAATTGAGCTCAGTCACGGAATACCAAAAACTTGGCAAAGGCTTCGTAACCCCTGCTGTGCTGCAAGAGAGGGGGCCATCTTTATTTCATTAAACCCCCCGGCAACTACACAATTCATTTGGGGTGGAATTAGAGTCGCCCTTCTTATTAATGTATCTGTGGAGGAAAATTATATTGTATTATCATACTATTGCTATATTATTTTCACTATACATTACTTAGTATCAGCAATAATCGATACATTGTGCCCTGTTATTCTTTTATAATGAATCTGCCATTCGTTAGAGTGCAAGGCTACATTTTATAACCCCTTAGTTCCTAATCTCGGGAAAGCTAGATTATTCGTAAATGCCAATTAAAATCTAAAGAAGCGGATAAGAACCTAGCTCTCAAGGAACACTAACAGTAAAGGTTTTGTCAGTATCCCTAGTGCTCATAAATCCCTAAATCCTGTGCTGTTGGTGTACATCAAACATTGTGTTGGGAACCTCTCATCTACAGGATAAAGCCTTGTCTTCTCTCTCCATTGCAAATTTCCCCTCCAACAGCCAGAACCAAAAGCATGGCTACCAAGATATTGATACCTTAGAGAGGGTTCAGAGAAGGGCTACTAAACTGGTTCATGGATTGCGGTATAAAATTTACCAGGAAAGATTAAATGTTCTTATCATGTATAGCTTGGAGGAAAGACGAGATGGGGGGATATGATAGAAACATTTAAATATATAAAGGGAATCAACACAGTAAAGGAGGAGACTATATTTAAAAGAAGAAAAACCACCACAACAAGAGGACATAGTCTTAAATTAGAGGGACAAAGGTTTAAAAATAATATCAGGAAGTATTACTTTACTGAGAGGGTAGTGGATGCATGGAATAGCCTTCCAACTGAAGTGGTAGAGGTTAACACAGTAAAGGAGTTTAAGCATGCATGGGATAGGCATAAGGCTATCCTAACTATAAGATAAGGCTAGGGACTAATGAAAGTATTTAGAAAATTGGGCAGACTAGATGGGCCGAATGGTTCTTATCTGCCGTCACATTCTATGTTTCTATATGTTTCTATGTAAGCCTGAGATGAGCCTCCTGAACTGTATTGATGCCTTCAACATACAGTCTGTGCCAAATAAATGATAGGGAGTGGGGGGAGGGAGGTTACGCTACAGGGCTTAGATGCAGGTTGCAATAACCTCATATAGTACAGAAAGGTTTTAGCCAGGTAACTTTGTATTATAACCACGTACAGACATTTTTACTTGTTGCTGATATTTGTGAGAAGTTACATTAAATTAAGTTAAATTAGAAATACTCATAAGCAGGGTATTCTTTTAGCAATTCTTATGGGCTCATTGTCAAACCTACTATATATGACCAACGTGATATTAAGTTAGATTTAAAATGTAAAGTTAAAATTGAGTAAATGTTCATATTTGTCATTTTTTACTGCATTCCAAAAAGCAATTGCTATATAAATATTTTTTTTTTTTTAAATTGTACAAATTATTGCTAGCTATACATCTGAAACGTAAACCTTTCTAATAATTGTTTAGGCAAATCCACTGACGATATGACAGACTTAGCACACCATCTGTCAAGAAGGAATAAAATAAATATTTTGCTTATTTTATCTTTTTAGGCAGATATAGCTTCTTAGTAAATAGGTTGTCAAAAAGATATTTAGCTACAGGACACACCAATAGTTATAAGTCCAGAATTGGAGATTGATGATAGCACAATTACTAATATTCATTAAAGCATGAAATGTCTCTATAAGAAAGAATTTGATGATCTGTACTACAGTTTCTAAAAGTCTTTTCAATTATCACAATTCCTACTTATGTTTGTAATTCAAAAAAACCCAGCTCTATAGAACAGGGTTTTGAGATCTGGCGTGATTGACAGACGAGGCTCTCCAGCTGATATTCCAGGAGAACCAATGAACAAGGCAGAGTGTCTGTCAATACGAGAGACACATCTTCTCAGGGCTGTCATAACAGCATTATAGGACCCGGGACAAAGTGGTGCACTGGGGGCCTGTCTACACAACCACTCAATTTTTTTTAAAATTATCTATAAAATTAAGCTTCTATTTATTGGTACCTTCAACAAAAATCAGTGTTTAAACTGTACAGCAGTGATAAATCCACACAAACGTTTCAACAATATAATACGAGTCTTGAACTTGGAGAATGAGACAATGCTTCTAGCATGCGTGTGTGCGGTGGGGGAGGAATTGGAAGGAAGGGAGAAATAGAAGATTTATACACCATTTTGCATCAAAGGATGCAGAACCGAATCAAAGAAAATCAAAACAATGTGTTGTGTCATAGTCTTCAAACTTCATTGCGTTCCGTTCCATTTCTTTCATTATTTGGGTTTAGTAGGAAGCACGAGGAGCCATCTGACATGGACTGTTAAAAAAATTTATAAGAACTTTGCAATAGCCTTACGGCTTCAAACAATGATGTGTGTTGGCTTTGTCTGCTTATACACATTGTTTTTATCAAGGTCAATATATGTATTCGCAACAGCAATATAGCATGTACAGATAACAGCTGATACTATGTGATTAGTCCTCCTAAACGTTTTAATAAAGGTTCTGAAAAAATCTCCTGGAATAATATACTGAAACGTTGGCAAGCCTATGGGTCCCCTGTGCTCGAGTGGCCCCAGACACCTGCCCAGCTTGCCCATGCATTAAGATGTCTCTGCAGCTTGTATAAGGAGAGCCTACTCTGGAATGTATTGATGATTAAACCTTTTAAAGCCATTCTTAGGTACATATCTATGGTCCTTTAGATGAAGTTAACCTCAGCTCCCAATACCCTCAGTCAATCAAAGTCTCCAGAAGTCACCCTTTGTTGACCTATGTATCACAGAGTCCATCTTGCTGTTTCTTGCAACATCCCACACATTTAACTCCATTTCCAGAAAACCGTGTAGTCCCACATGGGTGGTGAAAGCATTTTCATTAAATCACATCACCAAAATAATGTTTGTCAGTGTTTCATTCTAAAATGAAGTGATTGCTAAAACATATGGAAAATCACAAAAAACACAATATTCATTATTCAACGCTCCCTCCATGTTTGACATCATGGTGGCCATTCCTTACTGTATAATTCATATGTTGAGCCCACATTGCAGTGGTATGACCGTGCTTCATTATGTCATTTGAACCTGCAAATACTTTCACTGTTACAGTTTTCCAGTTCCTGAAGGGTTTCCACTATTCAGAGACTCATGAAATGTGCTAATTCGGGGAGGGTGGCTTTAGTTGTGTGACTGAATTAGGCCCACGGGATAAATGACTACAAACATGAAAGATTTCACCTACTCAATCTCTCTCGAGTTAACCTAACATTTCTCTTCTTCAGCCTTTTGACTACTTCTCTATTGCATTTTATTTATTGAAAAGACATTGATAAGTGTAGCGGAGATACAATATTCCACAGATTATCTCCGCTTAAGATCCAAGTGAGGCTCAGGAACAAGTAATTATAAATCCACAGGCAAGATTTCCAGCAGGTAAAATAATCCAACAGTATCCCAACAGCAATCTCAATAACTGGACGACACACAGCATCAGGAGCAGAACTGAAAACCTTTATTCCACAGTGGCCTTATATAGCATGCTCCCATGCAAGGGAGGGACTTTCATCAATTAGTACAGTACCCAATCCGACAATAGAAACCTCCCACCCATCTCCTCCCCTCAGCCTGACTCATAATCCCCTTATACTGTACACAAATTCCCCCAGTTTCTGGATGTACCCCTAAACCTGTCATTTTTAAATGGCACATCCCCTGGTAGCCCTGATCTGGGTGAGCAACATATCCAAAAATCACCCAGATCAGACCAGGGGTTCAGGAAATTTATGGAAGTACTAAAAAGACCGACCGCGCTGGAGAGAACAGCCGAATTGGGTTCCATGCGATGGGGTCCTGCGGTCGGTCCCAGTATAAGGGAATAAATTACACAAAAGGCTAAGGCTACAGAGATCAGGTAGGGTTCGCATGAATCCCCTCGTTCGGTTGTTTCTGTCTACCGAACGAGGGGCTGTTCGGTAGTTTGGAACCGAACGGACCGGGCTTGTGGCGGTCTCAGCGGTGTTCGCCTAGTCGAGGGTCCGATTTGAGTTCCAGACACTTGACGGCAAAACACCGCTGTTCGGGAGTTTTAAAATGGCCGCCACCATGTGTTCGTTTTCCCGAATGGCGGCCATCCCGCGAACAAAGGACCTACTGCATAGCTTGTTAATTACCCATTCGCAACATTGTTGCAACGGGTAATTGAAGGCACCCTTCACACAGGGGAGGTCTGATTGTTCAGTAGTTTCATTCCCTTAGTTTATTCGAATGATTCTACTGAACAATCAGACGAATACACTTTATTTCAACACATACAAAACCAGCAGTTTACACGAATGCAGTTAAACACATGTAATTTTCAGGACAGCCCAGTGCCATCCGCTACAATAAGCATTTGCAGAGCCGATGTATTGATTCTAAATAATGTTTGATAATTAATTAGGAATGTCTGCTAATTGTGGGGTGCAACGCGTTTATGGGATGGGGTTCCATGTTTAGATTTGGTAAATGCTGTCTTAATGCAGAGCCAAACTCACTGTTTTATTATGCTAATAGCATTTGGCACATTCATTATAAATCTGAAGAACTGTTGGGGTTTATTAATTGACTCTGAAAATTGGGGCTATTGGACTTTTAGACCAAAGTAGACGAGCTTAAAAATAACAAGGTAGCACAGTTAGAGAATTTTTCCAGTTGGGCTGTTTGGAATCTCTCCATAATTTTTACAGTAATCCTAATTTAGTGAATTAAGCCTCTTATCTATAGATAAGTATCCACACACCCACGTAGCTATGTATGATATATTGTTTGTCAAACAATGAAATATTCCCACATTCCCAAAACACCCTTAGGAATAGTTCAGGCATAATCTCTTATAGTGAACTTTAGAGGATCCTGTAACGCGTGTACATAATATATAGATATGTGACGGTTTAGTAAAACATAGAAAAAGAATTAGGCTAATTATTGATCTGTAAATGTTATAGTTTAAACAGAACTGTCTCAACAACATCACGTTAACACAACCCCTTCTCCAACATTGGCCTCGATTTTATATTGTTGAAAACGTTTTTCAAATGATCACAACCTGTTTGACAAATTCAAATGATTTATCTGCAGATGTCAGCATTAAAGTCTTTTTTGAAGGTATTTAATTTGATTGAACTAATTTCCATTTAGATTTTTATGATTGACTAACGAGTTGTTGTTTTTGTGCAAAATAGCTCCCATAGAACGCGCTTCAGCTTTCCCCCACCAATGTTCGTCAATGTTCGTCATTGCAGCACTACGCACTACGCATTTCACTCACCTCTAGATTTATTCCTAGAATTTGTTTTTTTTTTACCTTTTACAGGGAGAGTAATTATAGTTATTTTTTAAAAATGTTTAACAATATTCTTTAACAATACCACACTTTGAAACATTTCTGATTCTGAAGGAATCTGCCTTAGTTAATATCTGAAGCCTGCTGCAACTCACTGCGGGAGGTAAATGTGCTCTCAAAGCGTGTTTTAGGTTTTCTTCCTATTGTAGCTCACTCAAAAAGAATCATGGAACGTCTAGTGGTGTTGAGAAAGCACGAAATGCGTAGGCTTTGGTAGTAACACGAAGAATGGAGTGTTTTTGTACTGCACTTCAGGTGTGATTGAATTATTTGAACAATAAAGTTGTTGGATTTTAAAGAATAAACAGTGATGGGATATTTTTGGTGAAGCCAAATAATTTAACCCCTTAAGGACCAAACTTCTGGAATAAAAGGGAATCATGACATGTCACACATGTCATGTGTCCTTAAAGG